TTATACCCTTGGCCTGGATCCAATCCTGACCAATGGCAAAGGTGTTAGAGTGACCATAAGTGACCAACAGTAGGGTTAACACAATATTGCCTTACGTGGCTATATGTCGCAGACATTTTTTCATAGAAATCCTTTCTTTCACATTTGTCCATCTTCTGGGAAGCAGAGCCCAAGAAGAAGAATGTAAACAATTGTTATCAATTGTTATGTAGCAGGTTCTCCTGTGATTGGCTCATCTTCCATGTGTACCATTAAACCCTAACCCTAACCCATTAAAGGTCAATCACAGGAGCAGCTCAGGGACAGATTCCCTGCACACAGAACTTTGTTATTCATTCCTTCTATTCTATTCTATTCTTAGCATAGCTGCTCTCTGCAAGCTCTCTCTTTATTCTTTTTAGTATAGTTATAATGTATGATATATATCAATAAATCCAGCCTTCTGATGAAGGAACAAGATTCTGGTCCTTCTCTCACCCAGTGACCGTCTAAGGCTCCTGTGATGGCTATAGGGATAAGGTACAAGGCGGATGTCCCTATAATGTATGATATATTATATATCAATAAATCAAGCCTTCTGATGAAGGAACAAGATTCTGGTCCTTCTCTCACCCCAGTGACCATCTAAGGCTCCTGTGATAGCTATAGGGATAAGGTACAAGGCGGATGTCCCTGGAGACAGGAAACTTCTTTGCCGCTGTGTCAGCATTCTATTCTCCAAGGGGCCCTGGTTAAACCTGAGGGGTTTACTACACTGGGGCACCCCTGAGCTGCTTTCCAGGAGAGGGATTGCTCTCTCCCTCCTGGAGCTGGAGCTGATCTCCATCTGCAATCCCTGAATTGGGCTGAGGGGGACAGGGAAAACCCACAGAAACTCGAGGAGAGGGGAAAGGAGCGAAGCCTTTCGGGAGCCTTGGCACTGCTGGGGAAAGGATGTGTCCAATTCCTTCCCTGGACAACAAATCTCACAGGAGGCATCTTGGAAAGGAGAACTTCCAGGTTTACAGAAGCTTTTCCAAACTGTTGGAGGTTTTTATCCTCCTCTAAATTTCTCTTTGGGAAGAGAGAACTCAGCCCCATTTATTTCAGTACACAAACA